TTCCAGGCAGCTAGAGTGAGGGTCTTAAGACCACTCCTGCAGTGACACACCTACTTCAACAAGGCCACACCTCCTAATAGTGCCATTCCCTGGGCCAAATATACACAAACTATCACACTAGGCATAGATGAAAGACTTTGAACTTCTGATCCTCTTGTATCTGAGTTCGAGGATATCAGGCCTGTACCATCACGCCTGGTTTATGAAGTACTGGGGATCCAGCCGAGAGCACCTTGCATGCTAGGCAAGCACTCTATCAACTGACTTATGTGGTCACTATTTTTGTTTAAGATGGGCGGGGGAGGTCTTACTCTCTACACCAGGCTGACCTCAAACGCCAGTCCTCCTACCTTAGTCTCCACAGTGCTGAGATGCAAGCATGTACCAACAGCTTTCTTCTGGTTCTTATTTTAGGGATTTTCTTTCCATTTGCCTCATTTATGTCTCTTGCAAAAGCTAATTAATTATGACTGTGGGTTTGCTCACAGCAAAGATCAATGCATCGTCCCTAGGGCGCTTTGTATATGTTTTGTCCGGGTCTGGGAGCCCTATGGATCTGAGATCATCTGAAACCACATTTACTGTTCAAGGCTACTTGCCTGACCCCTGACCAACTGACCTGTGTGCTCTCCTTTTGCTTTGTTTGCTCTTCCCCTCTGTGCCAGGCCTGCCTTCCTTCAGACCTGGAGGCTTCCAAAAGGCAGAGAAGAAGGTTTATCACACCATGTCATGATCTGAGGCCGGAGTTCTCGTGGGGCAGGGAGGGGTCCCAGAGTCATTGCTGAGCATGTTTTCCACAAAACTCCTGAGGTGGTTAATTTGGTGAACTGGATGATTAGGTGGCCCAACCTTTGTCAAACATCGTTGAGATGTTTTAAGATTGTTTTTAGATGAGACTAATTTGTAAGCTGTTGAAGTAATTATTTAAAATCAGCCTCTGGTCAAGCAAACGATCTAAGCTGTGGTGGTTCTGCCTAGCCCAGCTGCCATGTTTCTCGGCCTGAGGCCACGTGCATGCAGCAGATAGAACCGGCCCACCAGAAACACCAGCCCTGCCACCCACGAGACACCAGCGTGAGAGATGGCTCTGCTTATCTTCCACACTGTCTCTGCAAGGCTCGGCATTGCCAGACCATTCCACCATCCATGCGGCCCCAGTAAGAGAATGAGACTCTAATTCTTAAAGATTAGTCAAAGGCTTTATATGTTTGGTAAAGTTTAATGACAAGATGCCCATACAAAGAGAGTTGTGTCCCAATCAACTAACCTAATCATAAGTTGTTTCCCAGGACTGCTCTCCATACCTGTGTGGTTCTCCATCCTCCTACGTCTCTGCCTCTCTCACTCCTACTCTTCCTTTTTCTCTTCCTCTCCTAACTCCTCCCACCTTAGCTCCTCCTACAGCAAGCTGACAGATTCTGATTTCTCTCCTTAAAGGATCAATTGGGTCTTTTAAATTTATTTATGTGTATATAAGTACACGCATGTGTGTATGTATGCATGCCTGTATGTATACATGTCCTGGTACTTTGAATAGGTTTGGCCTCCATAAACTGGTGTGTTTGAATGCTTGGCCCATGGAGAGTGGCACTATCAGGAGGTGTGGCCTTGTTAGAGTGGGTGTGGCCTTGTTGGAGGAAGTGTGTCACGGTGGGGGTGGGCTTTGAGGTCTTTGTGTTCACCCTCCACCCAGGGAGCTCCACCCAAGCTTCTCCTGGTGACTGCCTGTGGAAGACAGTCTTCTTCTGCTACCTACGCAATCAAGATGTAGAACTCACTGGGCGGTGGTGGCGCATGCCTTTAATCCCAGCACTTGGGAGGCAGAGGCAGGCGGATTTCTGAGTTCGAGGCCAGCCTGGTCTACAGAGTGAGTTCCAGGACAGCCAGGACTACACAGAGAAACCTTGTCTCAAAAAACCAAAAAAAGAAAAAAAGAAAAAAAAAAGATGTAGAACTCTCGGCTTCTTCAGCACCATGTCTGCCTACATGCCGCCATGCTTCCCGCCATGGTGATAATGAACTGAACCTCTGAAATTATAAGCCAGACCCAGTTAAATGTTTTCCACTGTAAGAGGTCATGGTGTCTCTTTAGGCAATAAAACCCAAACTAAGACACATGTCTATGTGTATATATTTGGAAGAGGATGCATTGTTTTGTTTGTCTTGGTTCTTTGGTTTTGAAATGATTTGGCTTTTATCACCTCAAGTTCCTCCTCAAATGCATACTTCTGTGCTTTTCTTTAGCTTAAGAATTTAATGAGCACCTGATGAGAAAGACTCAAAGGCAAGAGGCACTCATTGCCTCTCACCTAAAAATGTGGAGGTGTCAGGGGAACACCCAATGGCATGCAATGGCCTCATAGGGAAACTCAACAAACATACTCCATCCTGGATCAGAGGGAACTTTATGAGTACATGCAAGAAGACATGTCTGAGGGACTGGTCACCCAGTGTTTTGGCCACTAACACTCTTGTGTAAACATGAAGAATAACCCCCAAGATCCAATGGGAGAAGATCAGGGCTAAAGCGAGACAATCCCCAAAGCAACACAGAGAACCAATCCAAAACATATGCCCCAGCTAGCATAGACAGGCAACCTTTCAGGAGAAAAGAAGACTCTGTGTGTGTCTGTGTGTGTGTGTGTGTGTGTGTGTGTGTCTGTGTCTGTGTCTGTGTCTGTGTCTCTGTGTCGTGTGTGTGTGTGTCTGTGTGTGTCTGTGTCTCTGTGTTGTGTGTGTGTGTGTGTCTGTGTGTGTCTGTGTCTCTGTGTCATGTGTGTGTGTGTGTGTGTATAAATATTTATACATGAGGAACAAATTTCTGAAAAGGAAATGTTTGGAGAGAAGTTACCATCTGGTGTTCTAGCTGGTGTTTTATGTATGTGATAATTACTAACTTGCAAGGATCCTGGAAGGGGGGAAAAACATTTACTACCTCAAAACTAGTTTATCTTGCATGCTTGGGCAAACTCATAGGCAATGAAAGACAAATTTAAATCACAAACAGGAAGTTCATTCAAACTAAAATGTAAAACATGTTTTAAAAAAATGATGAGCTCAGGAGGAGAGACACCCAAGCGCCTGTCCTGATGTCTTTTTCCTGGAGAGGGGATACTTTTGACATCAACCCCTATGCAGTCAGGCTTGTCCCTCAGGGAACCCAGAGAGATATTTTTAACTTTTATTGATATTCCCTTGCAGTGCTTAGCCTCGCAGCCTAAGCAAGAATTCAGGTCGCCTGTCAGAGGAGGTTCTGGGTGGCCCCTCTCTGCCTGGTCTAGGGGAGGAAGTGCCCTCTTTTAGATGGGTTTTGAGAACACCCTTGATAAGGTAACAACCTCATCTTGAGTCTCGTGGTCCTTCATAGCTAACTTATGATAATGTATCTGAATAGGTTTTGCTACCAAATTATTTATCTGTTGTTTCACAGAGTGAGTCAGCCTACTTGAGGCCCAGGGACCAGAAGAAATAAGCAAAAGGAACCCAAATAATGGTCCCAAGATGAGAGGAAGTAGGGTTGACAACCCTGGAGAGGTTGAAAACCAATTCTTGTACCAGCACTCATCTTTCTCTTTATCTCTCTGACTTTTCTCAGGGCCTTCTCTGACCTTTTTCATGTTCTCTTTAACCATCCCTGTCTTATCTATGTAAAGGCACTATTCTTCTTTAAGGGCTGTACACAGTCAAGAGCTGTACACAGCCTTTTCTATTATAATAGAGTAAATCAAGCCCAATAAAGATCTTTGCAATTTTTGGAGCTCTTTTCAGACAGTGAAATGAGGGATTTCTTCAGATTAGTGATGTCAATCTCTAGCTGTTTGACGTTCTTGTCAATGGCCCTTCGAAAGTCTGAGTAGTATAAGTTCGGAGGTCAGCATCTGGATTAGAACTTCTAACAGCAGACATCACGGGTGATTCATTTTTACCTGAGATGCTGCCCGAGTTAAAGCTCCTGGGAGGCCCTCTTCCTCTGGGTTTTGTGAAGTTGAGTACAGAGCTGCCGCCTGAGATCTGCTCTGTGCTCGGGCCCAGACCGGAAGTCTCCATTTTTTGTTTTCTCAACCAACTTTAAATTAATTGCTTATTAAAGATGTACGTTACTCTGGGCAGTGGTGGCGCACGCCTTTAATCCCAGCACTTGGAAGAGGCAGGTGGATTTCTGAGTTCAAGACTAGCCTGGTCTACAGAGTGAGTTCCAGGACAGCTACACAGAGAAACCCTGTCTCGAAAAAACAAGCAAACAAACAAGCAAAAAACAAACAAAAAAAAGATGTACGTTACTATAGCAGGTAGCCTAGATGTTCAAACAGGGTTAGAAAGGATTGTCCAAAGCAGCTGGGTTTCTCTCAGGGCACCATGCATCCGCCAAGAGCCCAGCATCTCCCTTATCTATAGTTCACATGAAGAGTGGAGACTGTGGTGTGGAGCCTAGGGAGCTCCCATACAGACTGAAGAGGGTGTGGTGACACAAATAAGTTTGCAGGCCAGCTCAGTGCTAAGCCAGTCATTCTCAGGTCTGCCAAGCCTCAGCTAATGGAGGCTGAAACAAGCCCACAAGGACTGTGGGCTTATCAGGCAAGCGGTGGGCTTAGAGTATGGATGTGTAATATTAGGATGACTGCTGACCCTTGCAGAAGAGGTCACTGACATGTCAGACTTCAGGGACCCTCACAGTTCACTGTTAAACTCTCTAGAAGCTTTACCTTGAGCTTGCAAGATGCCCCTCATGCCAAAGCTGGGGCTTGCTCCGGGAGCACAGGCTGCTGCAGCTACATGGTGAGGGTTTGGCCTGATACAGTGGCTCATTCTCCCGAGAGGACATGCAGTCTTAGGGGGCAGAAGGGATTTGTAGTCTCTGGAAGCCAGCTCAGAGAGAGTTGGCTCCTACATTGGTAGGCCAGCTCCCTGCCGGCTCATCCACAGTCCTGCCCAAAGAGGAAGTGGCCTTCTGATACTGAAGAACAGAAGCCTGATGGGACAAAAGGAAAGGACTCCAAAAGTGTCTTTAGTTGCTTTATTCTGTCAGGCCTGGAGCTGGTGTGGCCTCAGATGGGACAAGTGAGCCCACAGTTGGAACCATGCAAAGTGGCTCTCGGTGAATAGGCCAGCAGCCACAATGGCTTGCAAGGCTCTGTGGGCCCATCACAAAATCCTGAGCCAAATCGATTGCAGGAGGAGGACCTGAGAAGACAGCATGGTTGTGTAGATACTGGGTACGAGGGTAGTGCCTGCACTGTACTTATCCCAGCCTATCAGGGATGGCGCCACTTCCTCAAGGGGTACTGAGGAGGGGTCAGCATCAGGCATGTCTGCCTTTTTCTTCTTGATCCAGTCAGAAAAGAGGGAGACCTTGGTGAAGATGTTGGGGCTGTGTATCGGTTCTAGACATGCTCCATTCCAGCTGGCCAGCCCTATCACGTACCAGTAGCTATTCAGGAAGCAGGCAAGGGGACCCCCAGAGTCTCCCTGAAGAGAGAGGAGACAGCTAGTAGGTCCGGGAAGAAAGGAACACACATTGCCCAGTGTAGACAGGACTAGCTGGGGACCAGAAATCTCTACTGCTATATTGAATGGTACCCTTTGGGTCTGTCTAGACTTTTATAAATAAATAAATAAATAAATAAATAAATAAATAAATAAATAAATAAATAAATACATAGTCGGTCCCTTGGGTGAGCATCTTCAGGACACGATCATAGACTTCTATAATAAAGGAATCCTGCAAAGGGGTCTTGTACAATGCCTACCTGGGGAGCTTGCAGAGGTTTAGTATGTGGAGGGTAGCATGTGTTACCTGTCCCACCACCCGCATGGGGGAAGAGGGCTCTAAGGACACACGGGCAGCCTAGTGGCGAGGACCAACTAGAGAGATGACGGAGCTTAGCTGTAGTGTCTGAGCTACCCTCACGTACTCGGCAGACGGATTTCTGGTTGGTGAGGTCTCCGGCACATATCATATCATCTTTTATGACATCGTACTCAATGATGCTGATCATCTCTGGCGTCTGGAAGAAGGCCTCACATTCCTGTTCCTCCATGAGGAAGACCTCTGCATCTTGCAGAGGGAAAGGCTCTTTCAGGAACTCTGTGGGAGGGGGTTCAGTGGTGAGACACAGCTGAGGGAAGACCTCCCCCACCAGTTCCCCTTCCAGGATGATTGCTGGGGGTGTAGGGGAAGCCATTCTAGGCCACAGCATCAGGGAGGGACTTAAAACAGGCACTCAGTGACCAAGGGATATGGCAGCAAGGGTAAGCATGAGGCTCTGTGGAAGGCAGGAGACAGTCATGGCGACTGCACAGGTCCTGGTGTGGGGGCCGAGGAACTCTAGGTACAACCACAGTGGGGCCCCAGGCACAGCCTCTTCACCAGGCAAGGGGACCAACACTACACCCTGAGGACACACAAGCCAAGGAAGGAGCTCAGCTTTCAAACAGCTCTGGCTGGTCTTTGGGGCCCCAGCTGGAGGCAGGGACACTGGAGCCCGAGTGCAGCAATGGCCTAGGACACAGGCCGAAAGCACTTAGGAGAGTGACAAGAGGACTGGCCAATCTGAAGGAGCAGCTGGGGTCTAGAGACATAGATTCTGTTTCAAGGTGCTCTCAAAGATCTGGCCTGGGGTTGTCCCATGGGAGCAGAGGGACAGCAGCATGGCTCACTGCACTCAGGGGCCATGGCACACATCCCTCAAGGGTGCCCAGGGGTTGCCTGTAGGTAGCAAACCCAAGTCTGTCCCCAGGCCCAGCAACTGTGGTCAGGAGAAGTCATGACAGGATGGATGAAGGTCCAGACTCTTAGGGAGGCCAGGTGCTCTGTTCTGAGAGCTGGCCGCACCCACACCTTCCCCTCTGGGTTTCCACTCTCATCCCTTGGCCTGACCTGGAGACCCTGTCTGCCCTGACACAGCCCTTAGAATGTGATAGTGCATCTCTTCTAATGCCTCTGACCCCCTGCTCTGGTGACTAGCCTGTGAGGCTGACACTGAGAGGCTAGGGGAAGGGAGGGAGGCCCTAGCCCCGACCTCACAGGAGCTCCTGCCTCCAACTGCCTTGTTGCTTTGCCAGACTGTGACCCTAAATCTCATGTCAAATTTACATTCTCTTCTGTGTAACTTGCCGTTATTTTGTCTTAGATCAAAAGCATTTAGCCTTGTGTGGAAATCCTTTGCCAGGAGTTCTGTGCTCTCAATCTAAATGTATAGACTTGTCCCTTGCTGTCAGCAGGCTCTTCCTGTGGTCCACGATACCAGAGTCCACAGACACTGAGTGCCCTCTGCATGGTGTGTGCAGAGAGCCTGTGTGTTATCTTCCTGGACACTTGACACCATGTCTGGATGACAGAATGTCTGACACGAGGCAAGTGTGATAGAGACAGTCACAATCACGTGGTGCTCAGAGAATGAGGACAAGGAGAATGTCACTCCCCAACACTAAGGCTTTTGGTGCCCAGGTGACTGGATCCGTGGATTTGGAACCACGTGTATTCGGGACCACTTGTAAAAGCTGGTACAACAGGCTTCCTTGCCTTTAGGGATGGGCAGTGAGGTTCAGAGAGGTGACTGTTCCCCAGTTGAACACCCCAACCTGTCCCATGCCAGGGAGAGAAGGTTGCTCTCATCTTCTCAAGGATACCCAGTGTCTTTCCTATTCAGGGGAGAGCCTTGCAGTGTCAGAGGTCAACTGCACTTAGCGCTCTGGAGTCAGAGAGCCTCACTTCTGATCTGAAAGGGGGGAGGTTTGCTTTTGAACCAGAAACTGGGGTTCACAACCCCTGGAAAGGCCTCCAGGCTCGTGCCCCTCCCCCTCCTGTCCTGGCCTGTGTACTCACTCTCATCTGAGAGCATTCCCCAGCCACTTATCCAGCAGAGACTATCAGGGGGCACCTTCGTGTTGTTGTCGGGGACACAGATGGGGAAAATGTGGGAGCTGTAGGTCACAGGCTGGTGTAGCTGGATCAGGACAATGTCTTTCTCCTGACTCTTGAGCTTGTTAAAGTCCTCGTGCAAGATGACCTTATTCACTGTCATCTGCCGGCTGTAGTTGGAGGGATTGCTCAGCTTCGTGTACCCTAGCAGGATCCGGTAGTCAGATGGTTTGAGAGACCTATTGGGGGGGCAGCACCTCTAAGTGTGGAGTTGGCACTGTCACCCTGATTGCCCCCCCACCCTACTGGCAAATATCCCTACACAGTCCTCCCCTCCTGATACTAGGGTACTCCTTCTCTAGAAGGGCAGGATGACCTCAAACAGCCTGAGGACTTGGGACCTTTGAAGGCTTCCAATCACTTCTCCGGTGTACCCTAGTATCCAAGGAGCTGTGGATTGTGTTCCTGTTTTTAAAAAATCTGAGGTACATCCAACTACACTGCTTCATCTTGGAGACAAAAAAAGACTGCTCACTTTCAGCCCTGACCACTCTTAGAGCTGCATATGAATTGCTTTTCAGAGCTTCTAGGAAGACCTAAAAGGAAAAAATAGGTTTCCTAACTCTGGGTTGTTCCTCTTGTCCCTGTGTTTGAAGGATAACAGGTGAAGGAGACCACTCAGGGTCAGGGCAGCAGCACAGAGGACTCCTGCTGGCGTCAAGCTGTCTCAGAACGCAGCCTAGAAGGACATGGCTGCCGTACATCCTTCACACCCCTCCTTCTGTCCTAGTGACTCTCCTGCACCCCTTCCCAGCAGAAGGGGCCAGGGAGGGAACACGCACCTTTGGAAGCAGTGGGCAGCGCTAGCTACCCAGTTTTTGTCGATGAGAACCGCTCCACAGACGTGCCTGCCACGAAAGAGCAGACTGGCCTGCCACGGCCACCGCTCAGCCTTTGCAATGTGACCGCCGTAGATCTTCCCTTGGAATTTGGTCTTGCCACATACTGTGGAGACAATCCCAGGCACAAGGCACCTACACTCAGGATGCATGTGCTTGATGCTCCAAATGTCAGCATCAGCAGGACCCAGGGGACCCAGTGGCCTCTCCTCTCTGTTCTCAGGTGGGCATACCCAAGGTCAGGAGTGGAGTGGCAAGGCTCACATGACAAAGGGCCGTTTGGGTGGCAGAGGTGGAGGTGTCAGGCTGAGAGCCTTTCAGAAAGGCTCATGAAACAGAGGTGGGGCGAGGAGAAGGGTCCCGCTAAGCTCTCCTCAGACCTCATTAGCTTAAAAGAGCACCGCTCTGAAGATGTAGAAGCTGAGGCTGACAGAGGCATTATTGTTCCAGGCCATAGTCTTTTGGCTAGGTGTGCCCTCTCATCTCAACCCAATGAAGAGCGTGGTATAGCTCTCAGTGCACAACCTTGACCCGGAACGGAGGGTCTAAGGGATTAAGGAAAGATCCAGCAGAGGATGTGAGTATCCTGTAGGAGGTCCCACCTCCGAAGCCTCGCCTTCATTGTAAAGGCGTGCCCACCCTCCCAACCGCCTATGTTCCAAGAGAAAGGGAGAGGACGTGTCACAGAAACCTGCCTCCTCTTCAGAGAACTTACATTCTTTCAGGATCGGGCCTCTTGGTTCGGGTGGAGGTGTCTGCGAGGATGTGTAGTCCTGAGCATGTAAGAGGCTGAAACAGAGTAGGAGAGCAGCCAGCAGGCAGGCTCCGCCCCTATCCGGATCTGATTGCTGCGCCCTGGAGCCCCACATCGCATCTGGCCGCCCTGTGTCTCGGTCCTAGACAGGACCGAAAGCACGTGAAGACAACCGCTGACTCTGGCAAACTGCCTCTAGGGAACCCCTCTCGGCGCGAGCTGAGCAAGCATGCTGAAAACCTAAGTCCATGGGCGGCAGTCCACATTGGAGCCGGGTTGTCCTTAGGCTCTTCTCTCTGGCTTCCATGAACATACACACCTCCTGGGGGCAAAAACATTAACCACATCTCCAGTTTCATTCCATTACAATATGCACTCAAAAGGCAGTTTCATCTCTTAGACCCACATGTCACCACCTCGTCAGCCCAAAGTCTACCGAGTCCTTATCTACCTCCTCTGAAGGGCTGTGGGTGATAGTTCCCACCAGTAACCAGCAAACACTGCCCGAGAGCACCGTTCTAGAAACTAAAACGTTCCCAGCGTGCCTGTTGGGACTAGTACTGGATAATTTACATTCGTGGGCAAAAAGTAGGTCGGGTAATGAGGAAAATACAGGAAAGGTGCTGGGCTAGAGTCAGTTTTATGTCCTATGGGGCAAACTCGTTAGTGTTCAAAGCCTGGGGAAAATATTCTCTAGAAGTTACAGCTGTGCCTTGAGATTCTTAGCCAGTCTTATTTTTCATCTTTTTTTTTTTCTTTAAGCAGAAAGTAGCACACATTTGCAATGTGGGCGCTTCCGTAAGTTCCCTGCCGGGGGAAACAAGACAGACTGGGACAGGATGTGCTTTCTGTGCAGTGTCTGCAACCACAGATGTGTTGGGCACTTCATGGTCATTGTGTTTCGTCAGGCTTTGCAGCATCCATACATGAACTATTTCCTCCTCTGCCTTGGCTCTGAGCATGCCCCATGCCCTTGGCTCTGTTGGAGACCCACCTGTAAGGAGCACTCACCCTCCTGAAATGTTTCTAGAATAGACACTGAGAAATCACTTTTACCAGAAAGCTTTTTGTAGGTCCCCACAGTAACTTAGCTCTTTTTTTTTTTTAATGTATTCACCATTGCTCTCTTCAGACACACCAGCAGAGGGCATCAGATCCCATTGCAGATGGTTGTGAGCCACCACACAGTTGCTGGGACTTGAACTCAGGACCTCTGGAAGAGCAGTCAGTGCTCTTAACCGCTGAGCCTTCTCTCCAGCCTGCAACTTAGCTCTTGCTACACAGAATGAGAAGGAGTTTCTTCTGAAGCAAGCATTAATTAATATGGCCCATGAACCTGGCCTTCATTTTCCCTAAATGACATGTCCCATGGTAGAAGAGGTCGAATGAACTTCACAGTCACAAAACAAAAACTAATAAACCAATGCACGTATTAAATATAGTAGGGTAGTGGGGAAGCATTGTAAACTGAAGTTCCGAAGAAAAGCTACGTTGTTGGTGTTAGAGTCTACAAGGGTGGCTGTCCGGGGTCTTGCCAACTTGATGCAAACTAGAATCAGATGGGAAGAGAGAAACTCATTTGAGGAAAAAAAAAATATGCCTCTATCAGATTGGCCTCTAGGCATGTTTTGTGTGGCATGTTCTTGATGGTTGATAGACATGGCAGGGCTCAGCCCTCAGACAGCAGTACCACTCTTGGGCAGGATATCCTGAGAGGGAAAAGGGAGAGCTGCCTGTGGTCATGGAAGCAAGCCAGTAAGCAGCATTCCTCCCCAGCTCCCAACTACGCTCCTGCTTCACTTCCTGCCCAGACTTTCTTCAGGTGCCCGACTGGGATCAGGACCCAGGAGCCAAATACACCGTTTCCTCCCCAGGTTGTTTTTGGTGGTGGTTTTACTCAAAGCAACAGAGTACCAAACTACTATATTGTTTGATTGACTAGAATTTCCAAATTGTTTTTCTCGAAGCCACAAGGATGTTGTCAGACACAGAGGTGGGAAATCAGTGAGGGTGGGGGGATTACAGGCTGCTTTGGTGGTGTCCCAGTGGGTTTCCACGAGCTGCCACGAGTCTGGCATGCAGGAGGAACGTCTATGGTTCCAGAGGCCTAGAGGCTTTGGCGGTGGCAGGCCCCAATGACATGAGGAAGTCCTTGGTTCCAAAAGGGTTTATTTTCATGGTGGATGGTAGATGGATCTGGATGTACGCTCCCCAAAACTCAGGGCAGTCCCGAGTTATATAGGGAGGCAGAAAGGGGAAGGATCTGGGGAGGATGAGGGAGGATCTGGGGAGGCATGCTTAATTTGTTCCGCCCTCTGGCCTTCATCCCTGGGCCCTGAGGCCTCTAGTCATGCCCTCTACCCTTGCACTTTGGGAGGGGCTGTCTGGCCTTCATTAGTATGTAAATCCCTAGGGCCTGAGGCCTTTAGTCTAGCCTATGTGATTGAATTTTAAGGAGACTAGACTGTTTTTCGGGACCCTGGGTTCTTGGGGCGCGCCAAACTCCTGCCGGTTCTCACGCAGAGTCTCGGGGTTCTAGGCAACTGCTCAACCATGACCCAGGATACCCTTATGCAATCCCACAAGTGGCTATTAAGATAGCTAAAGATTAAAAAAAAAAAAAAAGCCGGGCGGTGGTGGCACACGCCTTTAATCCCAGCACTTGGGAGGCAGAGGCAGGCGGATTTCTGAGTCCGAGACTTCGAGGCTAGCCTGGTCTACAGAGTGAGTTCCAGGACAGCCAGGGCTACACAGAGAAACCCTGTCTCGAAAAAAACAAAAAAAAAAAAAAAAAGA